GAGTTGTGATGGAGGGTGAGATTCGTCGATCGACCTCCCCCCCAGCATCTTCTCTTCTCCCCCAGTCTTAGCAACATGCATGGTGCGGCACTGTGCAGACTGGGGAGTGGATGTCACTCTCAACTTCTTTCTCACTGCTTTCTGCCTTCTGCTGGCAGAAGAGACACCACCCAAGAACAGCTTTTCAGTAGAAATGCCAGCATGAATGCCAAGCATGTCATAGTCTTTACCACTCCACTGTACATCTGCCTCTCTTTCACACTCTACCCTTAAAAAAAAGAAAAAAGAAGCAGTTTCTCAGTACCAGAGAGCAATTCATGTTTTTTCTCATTTCTCATTTTCCTCTCCAGCACCTGGAACCCTTTAAAAACCATCATCGACATGGACGCAGCACTCACGGCTCTTCCGATACCACTAGAACGAGGCCTTGAGTTCTAACCACTGTTATCTTCTTTAGAGACAAGCATATCCCCAAGAGAGAGAACCCTGCTAATCTCTCTGTCAGTGATAGAGGCGTGTCGGGAATGTAGCAAAGCATACCTCAGTGGAGCTGACCCAATAAATCACTCCACTTTGCATCGCTTCAGATGTGTCTTAGCAGTTCATTTACCGTACAGTGAACACCCCAGAGGTGGCTCTCCACCTCTGCTATCGCACAGGCTTCTGCAGTCCTGGGGCCATGTCGAGCTGTCAGCTGGTGGTCATATCTGTCTGTTATCTCTCAGTTTTTCACCCCCTCTGTGCCCTCTCTCAGTCTTGTCTTTTTGTGCCCTCTCTCTGTCCTGTCTGTTGTGTTTTTGTTTTTTTTTTCCACATAGAGGAAGCCCTGGCTGTGTCTTGTATCTGGCATGTGCTGATGCTCAAGGAGCTGCCTCTGTCTGAGAATGTGACCATTTCAATAATCCCTCATTTACATTTTTAAGCTGTTTTTCAGAGCAACAGACAAGTGGAGACCTGTTTCTCTGCCACGCTGACAATGGACAGTGTTGCTATGGTTTTCTGTAATCGCACTAATGAGAATGCCAGTTGTTTATTGTGAAAACCAGAGAGGAAAACATGGGTTGACACCACTAATTAAAAAAAAAAAAAAAAAAAAATATGAAGAGTGAGGATGACGGTGTGTGTATGTGTGTGCAGGTGTGAGTGTCATCATCTTGTGGGAGAAGAAAACTTTTGTAGGGCTTGTTAAAAAGAACAGATCCAACCCTTCTGTCAGACAAGTGCAGGAATTGAATCAATTAGATTTTTGTTGTTTTTTATAAAGAATTAAGAACCATTAAAATCAGTGCAGAAAAAAAAGAACACTAGTTGCCTCTATGTTCATGCTATGATTACACGCAACATAGTCTCAGTGCAATTTGCGTTGGGCAACAATATCTGGTGTGTGTGTGTGTGCGCAGTGCAATTTCAGTATTCATTATGGCATGACATTGCACCTGCGTCACTGCCCGCTTAGAAATCCTCTTTTAGCAAATACAAATGCAAATAGGAAATTGTACGGGTTCACCTTGACAAGGTGAATGCACATACCACAAGTTTCCATTTTTACTTGCTCGAAGTTTCATGAAAATTTGGCCTTGTAGATTCATTCAATCCTTTTTATATCCACTGATACAATTATATAATAGTATTAAACACTACCTTGAATCAATTAACATGCAGCTTGCTTGACACACATCTCTGTCTAGTGAGAAAATTGATGTCACATCGAACACTTTCACGTCTGCTCCTTGTTATCCTCACTCTTGTATTCAGTGAAAGAAAAGCTATAAATGTTTTATGATAGTGTCCCTCATGTAATGAATGCATTCACAAACTGACCCTTATATACTCAGAGGAATTTATATTTATGGAACATAACTTTAAGCCTGACGACACTTGGTAGGAATCAACAAGCAGATGGTCAGTCTGAGCCACGTCCATTCACTCAACCAACATGGCTTTAGAAGGTGGGGTCCGTCGATGTACAAACTGGGCATCTGCTCCGTCATTCGTCCATATTAATCTTTGGTATCTGTTAAATGTAGGAGCTATGTGGCACTCAAAGAATGCACCCTGGATATGTCCATGGAGCTAAACATGGCACCATTTACAATGCAGCCGGCCAAGATGAAAACGACCCCTCATGTGCTGTACAGCGACATGCAGTCTATTTATGATGCTTCTACTATATCCCAGAAACAGTGGGTGATGTTCCTAGTTTAAGTTTAAGTTTATTTATATTTATTCGTCATTTGCTTGAGACGGATCCCTGTGTAGTTTCACCTCTTGGGCCTGGCACTCCCAACGGACCCCACATTTAAGTGAGGGGCAGGAGAACTAATTTTGATGGAATATAAAAGAATTAAGTGATTCTGGCCAAGTCAGGCATTCACTCTTAGCATTACCCATTGTCTCCATCAACACCCATAAATCTTTAATCCCTACCTACTCACTCATTCTAAATTACGCGTGATAAGACATGAAAAATAATTGGACCTTTCTATAGTGAAGACACTGAATTGAAGCCAAGAGCGGCTTTAAATGATTTCAGCCATTCATAATGTGAGCTTTTATTTAATTTGAAAGAATATCATGCAGTTAAATTAAGTTAAATGCTGTGGTGACTTTCATGTCAAGGAAATTATAACTGATAACAAAGATAGCTGTTAGCTGCTTCATGATGAATCTTTACAATTGGTTTAATGGCTGTCAACTCCTACAGATAATAAAAATTATGTTTTTTCTGTCAGAGCCACTTATCATGGTTCAGTGACAATTACCACACACCGCAACTGGATAGCATGCAGAAATGCCCTACTAAAGTAGAAGCACTGTTACTTTACTAAATATTACTAAGAGTAGAAGTAAAAATAAATTTTTAAACCTTCTCAAGAGATGTTCTTTTGAAAATGGCTTTGAGCAAGAGCTGTGGCCATGAAAAAGCTCATCTGGTAATCATAAGCAGTCATAACATGCCTCGCCATCCCGTCCCTCTTCAGTTCAGTGATGCTCTGCAAGAAAAGTGACACCATTTTCTTTATGAGGAAACTTAATCTTAAAAAATTGCTTTAGGAGGAAAAAGAAGTTTAAAGCAAACTGAAATGAGAAATCTTCCTCTCTGTGTCGGAGCAGCGTAACTCCAGGACACTCTATAATCCTTCCCTTTCTCAAAGCATGAGTGCAAAAAGAATCAAGAATCTGCCTAAATAAATTATTGACTTTAGCATACTCAGATTGTACAAATGCAAAACAAAGATTTTCAGTTACAGTAATGAGAGTAATTATTTACTTTCCACCACCACTAATTGCAGCATGATCAATATTCTGTTAGGAGCAGTGTGTCTAGAATGCATACAGGTCTTTTTTTTTTTCTTCTTTTATAGCAGGCATTTTGACTTGTCTTAGCAGGAGAAGCACAAGCGTAACTGCAGACTTTAATGATGGCTCTTTTACATTTTTGAGCCAGTCAGCCATGATGCACAATAACAGGGCTCTGGTACTGGCACGCATTGATGGAAAGCAGTGATGTATTAATGTTATAAGTTATACCTGTGCAGTTTCCTAAAAATAGCTGCCATGAAAGAAAGGAGATCAATCAATCAAACTTTTTTTGATAGGTTTTCTATTGCTTGAATGTTGAATATTCCTCCTGTATTTTAAAGCATTAAATAAATGCACTGTAACTCAAGCCCAAGAGATCTTTCTCATAATAGACGTTTGACCTGTCAGAGAATAAAAAAAGCCCTGCCATGTAGACCTATCAAGCCCTTATTAGTTAGTTTGCTAATAGGTCTGTATGTTGCGAATGCTACTATAGTTACATTCTTAATAATAAGTCCTCAGTGATGTCTACATTAAGAAATAAACACGCTTATTCATGCATTAATGCATTTTTCATGAAGGACACTTTGACTTGTCCTGGCAGGAAGGACGTGTAGTATACCCAATAACATTAACGACGGCTCTGTTCCATTCATCCAGGAGTGTCAGTAAGTCACCGCAGTGAGGCGGCATGCACAGCACCAGAGTCCTGCCCCTGAAACAGCTGAGTGGGACGCAGACATTAGTTATGTTTTCACCTGTGGTTTCCCTTTGCTATTTCTGCAGTTTTTAATGTTGTGAAATGTCAAATGTATATGTATGAACGTATTTATTTAACCCAGCTCCCATAAACCTTTCACATGGAGGACACATTGACTTGTTATGGCAGGAAGCACACAGGTGTAACCAATAACATTAACGACGGCTCAGTTCCATTTAGGGGCGTCACCACAGTGAGGTAGCACGCACAACACCGGGGCCCTGTGACTGAAATCCATAAATGGAATGCAGGCATTAATAATGTTATTAGTTACACCTGTGTTTGACTAGTCAAAGTGTCTGCTGTGATAAAGGTATAATGGCTTGAATTTGCATAAGCATCTGACAGGAGTTAGGCTCGGGGCATATTCCCTCCTCCCTGGAGCCCTGCCTGCTTCCAACTCAGACAGCATCATTTTCTAATAAGATTTTCATGGACTGTTGTGGGTGAGATTTCTCTTCGTTAATTCCTGCGTTAAAAAACAAACACCGGAATTATGTTTATCTACCAAAGAGTGCTGGATGGTGCAGCTACAACCTGGTGAAGTTGTGGTGAGTCAGAGGGTAATAACAGCGTCTTTTATCGGTGGGTTGACAGTTGACACCGGCTTCCTGTTAAATCATCAAAGCGGGGAGTTGCGGGCCTGTCAGAACATGGCAACACTTCACTACCTTGAAGACACCCTACTCATCCCCACCAAAACACTAACACACACACACACAGGCACACACACATATACACACACAGACAGACACCTCAGACCCACACATAAACGGATGGGTGAGGTTTGACATGATTGACCTCTTCACCTTTGCCCTCTGATTAATTTCACCTCTGTGTGGGAGGGCCTCTCTCTCTCTCCCTCTCTCTCCCTTTCTCTCTCTATCCTTCAGTCCACTTATGCAATCTCTCTCTCTCTCTCTCTCTCTGTCTGCAGACCTGAATGAGTGCGGGCTGAAGCCGAGGCCTTGTAAACACAGGTGCATGAACACATATGGGAGTTACAAGTGCTACTGCCTGAACGGCTACATGCTGATGCCTGACGGGACCTGTGGAAGTGAGTGTGTCTCTCTCACACACACACACACACACACACACATCTCTGTGACTGTACACAGTTTGCACTGTTTGCGGATAATTTCATTCCTGATCTATTTTCTCCTTCATCCGTTTCTTTTTCATAATCTCTACCTTGCTTTGTAGCCTGGGTGTGCTACTGTGAAGCTTTTCTTCACTTTATTACAGATGTGTTCATCTGAATGCATGCACAGGGCAATGCTGATGACATATGCGCTCTATTATGAAATACATTTTCCCTCTCGTGTGACTACGTCTGACAGCAGCCTCACAATCCTTTTGATAGACTGTTTTGATTAAAGCCCCATGTTGATCCGCTTCATTATAGCTGCTCTACAGTCTGAAGAACCCCTGTGAAGAACCCAAAGAGGGCTAAAATGAAAAATATGAAAGAAACACAATCTTTAGACCCTCGAGTGAATGTGCAGGTCTTATTGGTTGCCCTGAGGTATTCCACAGAATGGGAGTTAATGCCTGCACATGTCCCACCCGATAACTATTTTCTCATCACGTTTCCTCTCAAGGATGGCGTGACTCCCAGTACCTCATTTTAATTAGGTCTTTTTTTTATCAGAGGAAAATTAATTTTCTCCCCTTTAAAGTCTGAATTGCTCACCACTAGAGGCAATCTCAAACTATGCTAGGTGTTGTTGTGTGATGATTGCACGATAGTGTTAAACACCTTGCTGCTCTTCTTCTCTCCCTTGCTACTGCTTTGATCAATAGATCACTGTAGCATTTAATCAGCCTGGCCTGCCTCAGTCATCAAACTGTACTCCAGGGTGCCTGCGGCAGCTGAAGTAGCAACGGCAGCATGAGCCTCACTTTTAATTTCCTTTTTAGGGTCTGAAGTTATCAAGAGAGGCTGAACAAAATCTGTTCCATTATATTATTATTTTGGAGGGTCTTGATCTGCCCAGCATGGCTCAACAACAGAGGCGCTGCACGCCGCCGCTTTGATAGGGTGGAGACGGATTATGAGGCTTCAAAAGTAGGGAAGGATAAAAGTTGGTGAGTCAGGATATGCGTGGGTTAGGTGTGAGCACAGAGCGACTGCGCAGCACAGGGATCTAATAATGGCAGAGTGTGTGCTGTTCCGTTGTCTGCACCCCAGGGTCAACCTGGCTAATATCAGAGAAGGCAGGCGAGTGGCTCTTACACACTGACTGGAGGATAAGGACAAAGTGTGAGTGTTTATGTTAGAAAGAAAGCAAGTGTGGGTGGGAGTGAGAGCAGAATAAACTTGTAGCACCAGCAAGTGTTAATGTGTTTTGTGTTTCCCTTGTGTCCATCAGATGCCCGCACTTGTGGCATGGCCAACTGCCAGTACGGCTGCGAGGTGCTGAAGGGAGAGGTTCGGTGTCAGTGCCCGTCACCGGGGCTACAACTGGCTCCAGATGGAAGAACCTGTGTGGGTAAGTCCAAGTCTTTATATACAGTATATCTCCACAGAACTGAAAACTGAGCCTTTATTTTAACCACTCCCTTCCATGAGCAGCTCATGTGAAGTATCACAAATGAGAATGTTGTGTTTTTTTGTTTTTTGTTTTTCCTTTCTTCTCAGCTTTTAAATTTGCTGAGTGATAATCAAATACTACTGTTTTGGCAGAGCAAGAAAGACAACTTGGCAGTGAAAATGCAATTTGGGACCTCAAACAAAACTTATTAGCGAGCAAAGCTGGAATTCATCCAAAATATTTACCAATGAATCTTTCTTTTTTGCTTTGATCAAGGACCTCAGCAATTTAACACCCCTTGTCAACCATAGCGGGACTTTATTCCACATACGTCCTCCTGCTTTTACAGCAGAAATGTGATCAGGAGAAGCCCACCCCCCTCTCGCCCTATCATCCCCTCCTTCTTTCATTACCCGTTTTACGTGGCACAGCTCCTAACATGGGTAACTAACAGATGAAGGGGGCCAGTTGAGGCAGTTAACCTGTGTCAGGTTTAAATACAGGCTGTTCCAGACTGGGCTGTTCCTGTTACTCTGCCATATAGTCCCACTTAACTGCGGGCTGGCTAATGGGGGGCGGATTTCTAAAAGAGGACGGACATCAATCATGAAGAGTGATGGAGGAGAGGATGGAAAGGTTGCCTGCCACAGGTGTTACGACAGTTTAATGGAATGTTTCCGGATCCCTCTGGAAGCAAATGTTTTATTGTCAGGTTTATGGCGAGTTTCTAATCATATTTATGGAGGTATATTCCTTCCAGTAACCAGAGCCTCATATAAGGGGGCGTTTGCATAGATGCAGATGTTTTTACTCATTATGATGCTGTGAAATCTAATGTGTCAACTCATTTTTGTTCTAGCTTTGAAAGCGACCTTGGTCTGCTTTTATCAAACTTTAAAAAGATACAATTAAGATTGCTCTGAAGACCTCACTGAGGAGTGAAAAATTAGTGTGAAGAAAAAAACTCTTCATCAAGTGACTTACTCCTACTTACAGCACATTATCTCGCCCACAAATGATCACTGTTGCTCCGGTTCACTTCTATTGAAGCACAACGGACAAATTCAAGCCTGCATGCATCTTCTGTTTCGATGTGATCTTCAACCAGCACCAAACGGACTTGCAAGTCAGAGTTCACCTTTGTTCAGCCTTGGCCGGGAGGATGTCCCCGGTCACCAACAGAAACACTCATGCACTGTGTTTGGAAATCAGACGTTTTAATCACTATTACACTCTATGTAGTTGATGATTTCTCGGATAAATATTTATTTATTACCTTTTTTACGTCACATCCTATCTTGGGGCTGACTGCAGAGCAAGTTAATTGAATGTAAAATAATGTGAAGATACCTTCAGTAACATTTATGAGCAACTTTCGAGTGATCACATGATTAATCTTATGTCTGCTCAGAGCAGGAACAGCCAATCAGAAACAGTATTCATTCAAAAAGCAGAAACAAGATACGTAATATGTTTTTCTGCTAAAACGTATATAGATTTAATAGCTCCAGTTGTAATTAGCATGTGAAAGTAACATCAAGCTAATATTTTCAGAATATATATGTAGGGATTTACTAATAGATATGAAATAACAGAACATTAGTTGAAATTGAAACTAAGAGAAAGACTGGGGCTGGAAAGAAATTCTGCTGCTGCTAGATGAGGTACATCAGGGAAATCATATATTAAGGAGAATTTAATACCGCACTGACATTTGCAGGAATTGCAAAAAATCAATACCAACTTTATTTTTACTGCTTACACCCCTGATTAAAAAATAGAATAAAATAAGATAAAAGAAATGAAAAAAGAAATGTTGAAGAAGAAAAAAGGAAAAAGATTCTAAGTTGTTTTACTTCAGCTAACATAGTATTCCTCATGACAAAGGACATTTTGTATTTTGTAAAATGAAAATATGCCATGGAAGATGTGTTCTTAACTATAATATACTATACTGCTGTTGCCAAGAATCTACTCTTAATGAAATTACAGTAAAAGATCTGTGGAGCTCTTAAGAGTATTTTAGGTTTTAAGAAATTTGATTTATTGCTTTCATTCTTTGTTTGCGAGGAGGAGTAAAAGTGAGTGATATTTGCTTTTATCTTCTACTTCTAGTTGTTTGATGATTTAATTTAATAATTTTTGCTTTAGCTACAGGATATATGATTGAATGTAGGAATTGAAATGTAGCGACGTCTTCTGATCCACTAAAAGGAAGAACTGACTTGTTTTTGCACTATGACAGCACAGCAACAAAACCCCTGATTAATGACGATGTTTATTGATGTTTTTGTTACTGCTGTGGGAGTTTGGAATGAGACAGCCTCATATTTCAGTGCTGTCTCACATAGAAGTTGCTTAATGTATCAGACAAGTTGTCAAGTAAAACACAGTTGCAGAGCTTAATATTGTCTAACTAATCTTGGCTGATGTGTGTGTGTGTGTGTGTGTGTGTGTGTGTGTGTGTGTGTGTGTGTGTGTGTGTGTGTGTGTGTGAATATGAGTTAAAGTCAGAAGAGTTGTTACTTTGACCGAGAAGTCAGAGCTGCCTTCAGAGCAGGTGTAACTGTTCATAAAAGCAGGGATTTGTGAGGAACAATTCATTGTGTGTAAAGACACATTGTATAGTTCTACATTTACATGAGCTTGTGTGTTCTTTGTAAAACACAATAATTCGCCCTGTCAGTAGCTGAATAAATGCAGCTGCAGCCTCCAACTGTTGTTCATTAAGCAGCTCCACCGGAGCAGTCTGGGATTAAGTGCCTTGCTGATGAGAACCTCAGCAGTAGCTGTTAAGGGGATAAGGGAGATCTTCCCACTTACTCCACTCGTGTGTTTCCCCAGCTGCTCCAGGTGTCTCTGTTTTTAAGGTCCTTTTAAACAACAGTCCCTGTAGCCCCACAGTGCCCCAGCGGCATTATGCAGCAAATAAATTAATGATTTTAAGGCAAATGCTTTGAGCCTCTCGGTGTCTAAATATTAATGCCCACATGCCTGCAAAGGTGATTAACAGAGACACTTAGAATAGGTCATTAAATAATGAAACAAGGTAGTGTGCACTGTATTCTGCTCACTGAACAGAATACATAATGTGCTTTGTTCATAAATGAATACTAACCAGGAAAGGTTGAAAAAAAAACTCTTCGGGTATGAATAGAAATGTTTGTTTAGTTTTGAATTAAATTGCCTTTTTTTAATCTTGAAGTTTTCCATTGCATTGTGTTATTTTGAATGCATTATGTGCTGTATGTGACCAACTCTCAAGGGCAACTTTAGTGAAAAAATGACGAATACATTAATGTCAATTTGAATATCATCTTGTGTGTAATAATCTGCATCTTTTTTGTTGTTGTTGTTGCTGGTGTAGATGTGGATGAGTGTGCAGCAGGAATAGCTGTGTGTCCCAGGTTCAGGAAATGCATCAACACCTTTGGTAGCTACATCTGCAAGTGCCATGAGGGGTTTGACCTGCAATATATCAATGGGAAATACCAATGCATAGGTACTGTCACAAGGCCTCTGCAGTGGGGCTTTTACAGATAAAACTCACAAAGGTCATAGATGTGCTGAGATGTTTTGACTTATAACCAAGTTATTTTTGGTGATGCAGGAGTTTTTTTCAGAAACTAAGAGAAAATTGAAAAGAAAAAAAAAAATGAAATGCACATTAACATTGTTGCAGGAACTGGGTGTGATGATTTCACCTGGATAGAAGCTCAGTAATGTTGTTCTGTTTATAATCTACTTTTTATTCCACTACATTTATTTGGCCACTACAATTACTGGTCACTTTGCAGATTAAGATTTACATACAAAACATATCATTATCATACAAATATGATGCATTGTCATAGATTAAACTATCATGTACACAGTACAAATAAATTTCAGTATAAAAATTAGCTCTAAATTAAACAACATAGAATTGCTGCTGACATGTAAATAATAATAATAATAATCCAATAACTAAATATTATAATATAACACCTTGGAAGGATTGCATGCAGGGCTTCTACTATTAATGGAGTGTTTTTATACTGAGATATTGCTACTTATGTATAATTAAAAGATACTTACAATCTAAAAGAAATATACTGAAAATCAAAATAGTCAAATAAATTGAGTTGGTTGAGGCTGTCTCATAAAGCAAGATTAACTGGATAAACCCACTGAGTAAAATCCGTTACCCATGTGGGCAAAATATTTTGAGTTAAGGCAAAGAAATTGGATAGAAAACATAATAAAATTAATGTGACTTCAGTTTGTGCCTTGTATTTCTGTGCTTTATGAAGCTGATGTAGTAAACACAGAAAATGATAAAGGAGGAAGTGAAAATGCTTCAGAATACTTCAGATTTGATGAACTTTCACTACTGCAAAGCTAATTCAAACAGCTCATTCAGTTTCATGTTATTAAATTTTGCCCTGATAGTGCTCTCCAGTGATATGCACCATACTTATGAATACCTGCCATCTAAAATATGAATTAGTATTCTATACAAATCCACATTACCTTGAATCTCAGCAGCATCTGGAGAATACACCATCTCCAGTCTTTATTTATTCATTTTTTAAGAACAAACTTTGGAGGTAAAAAAAAAGAAGGGCTGAGCAGTGATAGTTAAAAGAATTGATGGCGGTTGCCTCTAAAATTCTTCAAAGACCATGTAGCTCTCTTTTACTCTTGCAATGATTTTGCTCTGGCATTCATAGAAGGATCACCGTTATTCACTTAAATGCTTTCACTAACAGTACATGTGACATAAACTTCTAAGTGCATGTGAAGCAAGCAGCCTTTGATATTCAGCTGTTATATGCATTTTACACTTGCAACCGGTGGCTGAATGTTGTTATGTTTCCATTATCTTTCAGACGTGGATGAGTGCTCTTTAGGTCAAAGCCACTGCAGCAGCTTTGCCACCTGCTACAACACGCCGGGCTCATACAAGTGCAAATGCAAAGACGGCTTCAGGGGGATGGGCCACGACTGCAAACGTAAGGATCGAGAACAAAACCTTGGCCCCGATGTTCACTTTCTGCAAAGAGGATTGGGGCCTCACATTTTTGTTTTCTTTGCCCGTGTTTTTTTTGAAAAGGTAGGAAAGCAAGGACAAGGGAGGAATAGCCTTGCAAGCACAAAGCTGGGACTGAAATTCCTTTCTTTGTAATGGCTGTCAGTCATGACTTAAATCAGCCTGCTCCCTTATCACATGTGCCCAGAGTCAGACTTGACTCCACTTTTGACATTTGGCCATTTTTGATCAGCCCAAAATAAAAAAAAAAAAATAAATAAAAAAAAAACGGAAAGTGAAATATTTCTTTCCCTGGCACTCTGTCTCATTCTGCTTGCTGACATGCAATTCATTAGTCTGTGCGTCTGCAGTTTTTTTTTTTTTACAGCACCTTGTGGATAAGAAGTCATTTATTCTCCACAGTTATTCAATCATCTAACAGACACAACTGGTGTAGCAGTCCATAGAGCAGAGACGATGCCTCCCGGCGTAGTGCGCTGCAAATACTTCACCCTGTCACCTGCCCAAAGGGTGTGTGCCTCAAGTGCTCTGGGAGTCCAGTTGCAATATCCTATTTGTGTATCACATATCAAAGTCGCCTGCAACCTGAGAAGGCAATAACTGAGTTCAAACCACTTGCCTTTGTCCACTCTCATTCCTCACTCATGAAACCCTTATGAACCCCCCCCCACCACCACCACCACCACTGCCACCACTGCCACCACTGCCAACCCAACCCCCCCAATCTCTGCCTCCGCTCCTGACGGGAAGAATGTGTGGAGGAACAAAGGAAAAGGAGGTGTACCTTCAATGACGTCAGCAGAGCGAGGGTGATCTCCGGGGCACAGCAGCCTGTTTGAGCGCAGAGATCATCCACACACACACTCACACACACACACACACACACACACACACACACACACAGACTCACAGAGCAGCTTTCACCCGATGCTGTGAAGCCTCTGGCTATAAGCACACAAAGAATAACTAATCAGGACGACCATGAAAAAAAAGGCTATTTTCGGAAAAGCAAAATCAATTTCACAAAAGTAGAAATTCACTGGATCCTGCGGTGCCTCTGTGGTTTAGTTTGCGAAGCCACATGCCATGCTCCCATGAACCCTTCCTTCTTTCTCTTTTTAACAGGCCCATTGAGTAATAAATATGTACAGGTTTGCCTTAAAATGAATGAACGTGAACTTGGAGCGTGCTGATTTTACGGGCCGCTTTTGCAAGTGTGAACTTTTCCTTCAGTGAGATTTGAGACACCCAGTTAGTTTTAGGATGCTAACATTTAGTTAATAGATATCAGGAGAAGTCTCAGTAGATGAAAGAAAGCTCTCCACAGCAAAAGTCAGGCTAATCATTGCAGTTAGTCTGCAATTCTACACCTCATTAACTCTTAAGTGCTCATATTTCAGTGCTCCATCTGCATTCTCTTATTATTTCAGCCATTCCTAAGGTGGTTATTGACCCCCCGAGACCAGGCAAGCTGCCTCCAAACCATCACAACCACATCCCTGACTTGGATCAGAGGAGGACAACCACCACCACTTCCACCACTACCCGCCGCCCACCAGTGAATCCAAAGAGAATCTTCCCCTTTATCCCCAAATCCACGACTGCCACCACTACCACAACAGCAACAACAACCACAACCACAACCATGACCAAGGCACCTCTGCCACCAAAGAGGGTCACCCCACCTCCACGCAAGCCTTCAGTTCCCACCCAGAAGCCCTTCATCCCCACAAGGAAGCCACCAATACCCACACGCAAGCCCTACGTCCCACCAAGGCCAGTAGCTCCCACCAGACGCCCCGCAACGCCACCACCCATCACCCCTGTAGACAACACCATCCAGAAGGAGGTCACCAAGCAGAGAGGGGACGTCCACAGTAAGAACTAGATTTTTTATTTATTTCTGTTTTATTTTTTACATACTAACAACACTCTTGCAAATTTGTTGAAAATACACATATTATTATCACCTTTTAAGCTGATATGGTGAACCTGCTACCAAAACAGCTGCCTTTTTACAGATCCAGGACACACAGACACAGAGCAACATCAGGATTCATTTGGAGCCACGTTTCTGGCCACCACATGAAATCCCACATTCACTCTCATTTTAACCCAGTTTTGGTTTTTAAGCCCCTCCTTAGGGAAATATCTGCCTCTTTAGCTGCTAAATGCTTTTTCACTGAAAACAGATGCTGTGTCTGGGAAGGACGCTGATGAGAGCAGTGAGAGTAAGAGAGCCATAAAACCGAAACAATGAGCTGAGAGAAGCTAGAACTACTACCAGTGACACCTTTTACGTCACACACATATAGAAATATATCATTTCATTCATTCTGTTCATGTGGAAAGATTTATCAGAGCAGCTTTAACTGCTCAGAAAACATAATAGTTTTATAATAGAGTATTAATAGGCTCTAATCTGTGTGTTTTGATGTTTGATGGTGTGGTGAAGCTTTTGTTTACTTTCGGGTCACAGACTTTGACTTTAAAAGGCACCTATTTGTCTCGCCATTCATCTTCATCAACTCCCTGACAGGTTTGTGCTATCCAAATTGGAGCAAATTTGCATTTTTCTTCCTCTCAATCCTGAAACACTGTGTTTATTATGAAACATGTCACATTCTGGGTGAATCAGGAGTGATGTTTACCTGACAGATGATGTGTATTATCAATGTGTATTATCATATCAATTTTGTATTCAAACACATGAACGTGTGGTGGTAACTTACCCGAGCAGTTGGCAATGGGCTCCCATGTGTACACAGTTTGTTTGAAGGCGAACCACACAACAGGTTTATGTTGTAAAAATCTGGCAAGAAACTTGAAGATTGTTTGTAATGTAAACTGAAAATGGCTGAAATCAAAGGTTACTATCTATCTGATTCAATACAAGGCTGCCACTGTAATACGGACCCCTCTTATATATGAAGATTCAAGGTGGTTAACATGTAAATCAGGCTATATCCACCCTCAAATTAAAGTATGATACGCAGATTGTTAGGAAATAATGCCCATTTTTATAAGATGACAAATTTGTCTCACTAATATTATGCTAAGTATTTAAGTAAAAAATATCTTCCTCTCAAGATAATTATCCCTTTGGCTACAGTTAAAAAACAAACTGGTTCTGCAGCCAGACTGTTGTTTACCCACATGTCACACAGTGCTCTCTGCCAAGCCTGAATCTTTGACACCAATTGCATTCAAAATGCATCATCACTCTTTGTTTTATTTTGACATTCTTTGATCAAAACCAAATAACGGACCTGAATTTGAAAATACTGCAGCAATGAGGGGTGGCTGAGATTGTTTCTTTTGGCTTTAACAAAGATGGTAATCGCTGCAATCATCTGCTGCTTTGCACCTTTTCAAAATGGTGAATTGTGTTTAATGAGATAATCCCTGTGACATGCGACTTGTTAAGCCTGAAATATTCAGTTGAGGGCCAAAGTCACGGATACATTTTTTTAATTTGGAGCTAATACATGATTTGTCTGCAGGCAATTATGTTTTATTACAGTATTTAAAGGATAAGGTTGTTTAATTCTATACTTTTCTAATTGTCAACAAATCCCATGAAAAGCAACAATGAACGGATCCTACTAGCAACTGTTTACCGTGTATAAAGCCTGATAAGACTTATTCCTGTGCCACACTGTTGCACTGGTTGACAACAAAATTTCATTCATTTCCATTGGGGTGGAAACAAAACTTTCAGAGCTGAAAATTTCAAAACCTGGACAATCTGCGTGACTGGATACCATGAGGACTGAGTGATAAACTGAGTTATTTTATAGCCTGTTTGAACTGACCCTTGAATGTGAAAAAAGTGCAGTGGCTAATTATTCATTATTCATCCATTCTGATGCTGTAAATTGTTATGAACACACCAACTGCATATTCATCAAAATAGTCGCCAACAAATGCACTATTTGCTTCTTTTTGAGTAAAGTTTACTGAAAACTACAGTACTTAGCTGTTCTCTGAAATTACTTAGCCTTTAAGGACTTGAATTATATATCTGTGAGCCATTTTTAAAGACTTATGTTGAGTGATGCTATTTTTATCTTTATATAATTGTTTTCATTGCTTAAATGTAACATTTTTTTTTTTATCTGCCAAGTGCTCATTGCATACAACAAACAGATCAAACGGAAAATACTCAAGTAGAAGTTTCAGTAAAATTGCACATTATGATACAGCCGTACGGAAAACGCTGCAGAAGGTGATAACTGAAAAGGTGGGAGTCCGGATGCATCAACAGTGTGAATTGCAAAGCAACTGTAATTGAACATAGAAGTGTTTTTTGTGCCACGCTCCCTTGCCTGCACAGCAAAAACCTGTTTTTACCAAAATCCAAAATTAAGCTCCTTTAACAGAATTGTTTGTTGAGAACAGCAAAGTACAGCATAAGAGGTGAGACAGTGTGGTTCCTACTCACCTTGCCAGATGGCATCACATAATTAGAAAAAGGAAAGAGGAGAGAAGATTACATTAACACCTGTCTGCACTGCTTGAAGGAGACATCAATCTAATAGTTCGCACCACGGCAGAGCAGTTCTGGAAATCAGAGCTTCCTGAAGATGGTTTGAATAAGATGAGAGAGGGAAGGAGGAAAGACACCGCTGAGTGATTATTCAAATAATTAGACGGAAATAGGAATCATTTGAATAAGAGCCTCAGGGCAGGAAGAAACACATCAGCACACACCTGCACTTGAAGCACAGCTTCAAGTGCAGGTGTGTGCTGTGGTCAGAGCAATTTTGGGAACTTTGTAGTTTCCTTTCAGTCGCTTGAATCAACATTACCATTGCTGTCCAGTGAAAACCTTGTATCTCCAACCTAGCTTAGCATAAAGTTTAGCAACAAGACGCAGGGAAACAGCTAGCCTAGCTCTCTCCAAAGTTCGAAAAACACACCTATCAACACATCTAAAGCTCATAAATAGCAAATAGCACCATGTGTTTAATCCAACCTAAACACCCATATACAGAGGTTGTTTGTCCCTACCCTTGGATACTACCAATAGGAGCAAACCAGCAGCAGGGGTACTGGACCTTCATCAACATAATAAAAATAATATCACTGTTTTCTTAGGTTTAGGCACAAAAACTACTTGTTAGATTTAGGGAACGATCGCGGTTTAGGTTAATATAAGTATGTCCTATATGTTAGTGGACATTTGTCATCATGGTTACAATAATAAATCAATTACAATAATTCAGCCACAAGATATCAGATTTTTTTCAATTCGGAGCGAGGCAGGCTATCTTCTTCCCCCTCCTTCAACTCTGTATACTAAGCTAACGGCCCCCAGGCTCTAGGTTTATACTTAAGGCAATCTTCTCATCTAATGCTCAGGAAGAAAACAAAGAAGCATATTTTCCAGAATGCAAATATACTTCTCTTTTAAGGCTATAGGCTTCTCTGTAAAATGAGAAAACCTTCTAACCTCTGAGACTAATTTAGCCCTTTCAACAGCATCTGCATTGAGACAAAATGCATTTACATTAAGCTAAGTGCTAAGTTTTCCTTAGTTCCATAAAAGCTGGCATTTTGTAGAGAGAAGGCTTTCAGTGAAAGATATGAGTGTGATGGTTTAATGTCATGTGAACAAAGTTAGTCACCCTTCATCTGAAAAACATGACAATTATGAAATATGTTGTTTATAGAATAGCAGATTGCAGCTATTTCTTTCCAAAACTGGAAAAACACAATCCACTGATTGGTTATGACTTTGTTTGTTCAACATTTTGGCAGAACATAGGAAATCCCCCTAGAGCATCTTTTATTAACCCCCCCCCCCCCAATATTTTGATGGAACAAAATGACCAATGCAGTAACATTTAGTATTAAGTATTTCAACATAGTTGTCAAACAAAGTGTCTTGTCCAATCATGCAGAAAGTTTAGGGTTTATGTGAGAAGGTTTTAAGATTTTTGAGATTTCTGCCAACACCTGAACACAGTGAATAGGAATGGCATTTTGTTTCTGGTGCTCAAAGCTTTAAAGGATTTGAAGAAATATGTCTTTGCTGAAACAGTGTTCCAGTTACCCTGGATAATCCACTGACCTTGCTATGAAAAGTTTTCATTTGAACTACTTTCTACTGAAGGAAAACTGTTGACAGTGAGACCTACAGAGCATACAAAGTAACCAGGACATTGTCTCTGGGAGCACGCACGCAACTTTTTAAAGCTTCAATTTCAATGGTTTGTGCAGTATATGTCTTCATATACAGTCAATGTGATTCACCTACAGCGAATTATCACCCAGCGCTAGTTGATAATCTTTTCTTTTTTTTGTGCATATTTTTGGTGATGAAATATGTTATTTGGGAATTAGTTTTGGAAGTAGTTTGTTTGCCAGAATTTCAGTTAATTAAACAAAATCCATAGCCCATCAAGATGAGGTAGACAAACACAGCTATTTTTTAGTTTGAACTGTGACAGTCACACTGTCACAGTTCAAATTACTGCTCCCTTAATTGGCACATCACTTTTATTTTTACTCTTTATATATCTACTCTACAACCGGATGCAAGACTTCTGGGGAGGGAGGGGGGTGGATTTCCTTAAAAGCACAGACACACACAAACACAGGCACACACACGGAGATCTACATGCTTGGGATTGCTGGAGAGCCTGGTGTGAGAGTGTGACCTCCCTGCTCTCAGATTCCTACGACTGACAGACTACATCAGCAGTCTGCCGGGTGGTGTGACCCAGCATGGGGTTGGGCCCTCTCTGTGCTCAGGCTGACGGGAGGGGGCACATGTTGGGGACTTTGGGAGACTGACGGTTCAAGTACAGGTTACAGCATATTTGTAGCTTATGGACAAGAATCTGTCTGGGATGCTGGGAATAGTTGATGATGATGGTTTGTCTCATTACAGTAAATTCCACTGGCTGCAAATACAATAAATATTAAAATGGAGATGTTTATCTGTATTTTGCATCCACTGACACTTTCCTTAATGAAACTCTTCAATATAAAACCAGCAACGACAACTGTCCCTCTAATGGAGTTAAAGGCTTAAGTGTCTTTTGCTGCAAAAGATTTGTCACAGTAAAAGTACCAACTTCCTGTGCTTCACTTGTCAGTTGACCTTTCATAAGACAGCTTGGCTTATAGTATTTTGGGCAGTGTGACCCCATTAGAGAGGGAAAGAGGCTATTTCAGGACTGGCTGTGAACTCTATTTGTGTGTTTGTGTGTGTATGTACAGTATGTATGTAGCTCCTGGTTTTATAGCAGCATCATTTAACCAGAAGTTGCATCAGACGAGCAGTCTCCCCTTTTCTCATTAAGATTCACATTTGACTTCTGGTGTTTCTGCAGGTTTTCTCAAGTATTCTGGTCTCTGTGGTGCTTAACTCTGGATACGCAGGCACTAAACCATGACATTGATGCATCCTTGTAGAGTAATGAAACAAATCCACACAATAGCCACAAACAGGGATGCTACTGAGCAAATATAATACCTTTGTTAATCCTTTATCTAAACCTGCGTCTCTCACCTCTCTCCTCAGTCCCTCGGAACCACGGACACAACACCGTTCTCGGGATCGACTTTGACATTGAGCTCGGCAACACGGCAGATGAAGCCAAAGACGACCCAGGTAAACACGACACATTTTTTGACAAAGCCGGTCAGCAGCAGCAGCAGCCTGGCTCGCTGCAGACTGCAGAGCTCAAATGATGACAGATGAGGCACGTTTGCTACAGGCAAAATGAAACTGACAACCAACTCCTGCTGTGTCGCTGCCGAGGCAAAGACATGATAGTGACCAGATGTGTTTTGATAGGCCTTTCACCGGGAAGTGACACATGACGTCTGGCCATATCCGTTTAAATAATGGCTCACAGCCTGGGATGTACTTCCAGACTTTTCCCCTTTTCACATTATGCTTGCTTGACTGCTTGAATGATTAATTGATCATTTTAAAGTACATACACAGTGCTCTGTTCTTAAGCTCCATAGTACTCAATATATACTTCCTACGAGAACAATAAGAAAATAGATTTTGTGAAGACACATTTTATCTGTCATGTTTGCTCGATATGATTTATTGATGCCAATGGTATGCAGATTAAAATGCCTAATGACTTTATTTTGGTTCACAGTGCATCATTTGCTATGCGGTGTCAGGAGAGAAGGTGTTTTCATTGGCTCAGAAAATGAAGTGAGAAGTGTTTTCTGGAAACACTATTTCGGGGCCAAAATGATGGATGTTATTCTTATCTTCGAACCAATTTGTACAGCAATGCATGGATAATACTGTAACTGTGTTGTCTACATTTTCTTAATGTTATTGTGTAGCCATCATAGCCAGGAAGGAAATCATCACTCACTGAATATTATGACTCTCTGCTGTAACCATAATGTATTTTATTATGGTGTATGGCACGCATACTACTGTATAGGCTGTGCGTGTGTGTGTGTGTGTGTGTGTGTGTGTGTGTGTGTGTGTGTGTGTAGAAGTACACTCACTCATATGCACGCACGCACACACACACACACACACACACACTGATATCAGCATTTCCAGCAACTGTTGCAAATATTTGTTATTTTTTAGATGAATGCGTTTCCACTTGTGATTTATGCAGCTCCATTTTCACTTGATTCTTCCTCAATGCATCAGCTCTCCTCAGAGATTACAACATCATGACAAATGTTTACACTTTTATTGTATCATCTTGTTCATCAGAAGGAGCTTCAACAGTCCTCTTGCTCCCGGTGAAGTTACAGGCTCACAGCAGGGCTCCTGTGAAGCATCACAGAGACCAGACTGAAGGCTTTTTGTGTGTGTGTGTGTGTGTGTGTGTGTATGTGTGTCCTCCACTGCTCTGAAAAGTGTGTTTCATTCTCCCCAGAGTCGGGGTATCTGAGCTGCTCCTTTGATGATGGTCTTTGTGGCTGGATCAGGGACAAAGACGGAGACCTGCACTGGGAGACGACGCCTGATCCGTCAGGTAGTTGAATGGCTGGGGGGGGGCAAACTCCACAAATAAGGGAAAATGTTTATTTTATAGGCAGTAAATGGAAATGAGAATAGCTGCGATGCTTTCCTGACACGCGCACACATGCAAACACACACAAGGTCAGACAATCTAAGCGGCTCAGTTTTGTTCTGCTCAATTACAGGTCAAGATGAAAATTACTTGAGGGAAGTAGTCTGTCTTCCCTGCAGATTAGCACTTTGCTCTACAAAGTGATGCAAATGAGACATGGATTACACCACCTGTCACTGATACCTGTGGCGTACATTAAATGGGAACACAACACTGTTTTTCTTGAGGGTTCAGCCGAGGAGAAGTTGTAGTGAATTACGTTGAGTGGACTCAGTGGGGGCGGTGGGAAGACTAAACAGTGCAGCGTACTGGCACTGTTTAAGCGACACTAACTGCATGTGGCTTCCACAGCCAACTGGCTTAGTGTTGCAGTTAGTAGTGTGATTCCAGACATTCAGACTGAGGCCTCGTTTCAGCCAAGTTTGTGCTCACTCATTAGTTCAAATAAAAAATTTTGCCCAGACTTGGAAAATCATTTACAGTAAATCATAAGCTAAGCCCTGACTAAGAGTGATTCCATTTAAGAGGCAACGTTTCAGTCTGCAGTAGCCTGTGGTGAATATGTTTAATCAGAACACTTGAATAATGTCTCATTTATATGTGTGTGTCCATCTTCGCCTGCATCTTCAGGGTGTTGTGAAGCATGTAACTATTTACTGTTCATCACATTAAGTTCTTTTGATAGACAGCCACAGGCAAACTCTGCTCTTAAAGGATTGGCACAGATTTGGAGGCAGCTCATAACTTATGCAGAAAGCGTCTGTGGCCTCCAGATACTTATTGGACCCCCTGTGGTTAACACCAGCCATACACAGATCCACTAAATAAGCAAAATACATCAACATTATTACCCAGAAGCACTTTTAGCTTTAAATTTTTAAAACTATATAGATCTAATATCACCAACTAATGCATGAATTAATATAAAAACGAAAAAAAAAAGAAAGATAGCCACAGGCAACTGGCTCTATTTTGAGTTGAAAAACGCAAGTGGGTCAAGTCTGTTTCAACTGACAATTCAATTTTTCACCATCTCTTATTGCATCACTTCTACAAATTGCACAGTTGGATGGAAAGTGTGTTATTACATACCGAAAGACCTACTCACCTACATACCTACTTTTTTAAAAGATCAGTTCACCGCACGAACTGTATAATAGTTCTTTTCTGGCACACAAATATTGGATTTCATTTCATAAAGAAATCAAAAAAAGCATTTTGGAAAACTCATTTAGAACGTGACTTTCCAGAAAAACTCACTCAGGACAATCCACAGACGTTGCTGTCGGTAGTTTGCATGGGCAGTGTTTACAGTAACCGTTCACAGTAAGGTCTGTGGATTATCCTGACTATCCTGTCCTAACAAATGAGACTCCAAGCAGGAGCTGCATTGGAGTGGCATGGCATGTTTAGAGAAGGGTGAACGGACCCTTTAACCACTGAGCCCAATTATGAATGGTGTCATTTCTTCTCAGTTTGTCATTTCATGGTATCTTAAAGAGACAGATGGTAAATAGTTGAAGATTTGAGTTCACAAATATGTTGTTAATAGGTTTGACTGAAATTGAATAGTACACTCACTCACTACTATTAATTGTAAAAATACATGTGTTGGTTTGTCAGAGTGGCTCAGATGTAAAAGTCTGAGCAAGCGACTGGCCAATTAAAAGTAGCATTCAAAATTCCTGAGCAAATGAATGGTAATACAGTATGAGGCTGGGGATGTTTGCTGGAGGGAGTTACATTTCTGAGCAGTAAGGGTGCAGACTGAAGACTGAGCGCCAGGTGTTTATATGGATCACCTATAGTGAGAGATAATATTGTGGACATACATGAGATGAGGATGTATGGAATGTGGCTCCACTAGTTTAATTTCATTAACGGGCTCTTTCAATACGTCTGTCACCGGCCTCCCCAGGTGGACGGTACCTCACCATTCCTGACGTTGGAAACAAGAGAAGTGGACGAGGGGCCCGGCTGGTCCTCCCACTCACCCCTCCCTGGAATGACGGCAATCTGTGCCTGTCGTTCCGGCACAAACTGGCAGGCCACCATGTGGGCATGCTGCAAGTGTTTGTGAAGAAGGGGAAGCAGTACAGTCCAGCAGTGTGGGGCCGGACAGGTGGAAATGGCTGGAGGCACACCCAAATCACATTATGGGGCACAGGTCTTGAAAGTGTAAGTATAACAGTAAAGATGTCAAAGAGGTTCACTCATGAAATTTAAATAATATCTACAAACATTTCTGACAGATGTGAAGAGAGATTCTATTCCTGTTGATGAAAAAGAAATAAGAGCAGCAGTCTGCATTTCTAAAGAATGGATCTGTAAAATTTAAGATTCAAGTCACCTTTGAGAACAAATGCAGTGAGTTTTCTTTTATCATGAAGTAGCGTGTGCTGATTGCTCCTCTATGGTACTACCTCAGTGTGCACTGTGCTGTTGTTCACCAGGTGATCCTGAAGGGGGAGCGTGGGCGAGGCAGGAGCGGCGAGATGGCCGTGGACGACATCACCCTGAGGAAAGGCTCCTGCACAGAGGAGCACAATCTGAGAAGACTCTAACTGACAGAGCAGGGAAAAAAAAGGCAGAAAGAAAACAAGAGGGAAAAATCATCTCAAAGAGAACTGACTCTGTTTTGACACCCCCTCACTCTGCCTGGGCTCTTGCCGATCCCTCCCCCAACCCAGACCTCCTCCCGAGCCATCCTGTGAACGATATTCTAAAAATTGTGCGTCTGCAGAACAGTGGGTTTCTCTTTCTCGGCGCTGCCCATGAATAAAAGGACTGAACCAAATCTCATGGGCGGATCCCAGCAGCACACTCCTGTCTTCTCAGCCTCCCTCTCACTCCATCACCTTGTTACTATGAAACCTGCATGTACCTACTTACCATGGAAATGTCCTCCACCTAACACAGCCCTGGCAGCCTTCCAGCCACACAGTTGCTTCATTTCTTCCTGGAGAGAGGATCATTCCCTCACTTAGGAGTCTCCTTTTTCCTTGCTTTGATCCTTTACACCACAAGCCATTGCTTTTTATTTGCTTGATGTTAAAACATGTTGCTAGGGGTGCATTTTGTAATTGTTTTAATCAGTGAAATATCAGAAGTGGTATACATTTCTTTGAAGGTTAGAGATAAAATACTATGTAAAAGACAAACTGTCATTATTTGGTGCTAATCCGGATTACTCCAAATCTGAGTCAGAGCCAGTTTAGGCCTGCCTTTGTTGGTCTACTTTGAGTTTTTGGTATTGCTATTGTTGTATAGCACAGTTTTGACTGAAACAGCGCTTTTCTTTTGTTGTCACAGTATTTCAAAGATCGGTTTGGCTGAAGAGAGTTTGAAAAAATAAAAGCACTTTTTCTGCCCCGATCTTTTATTGAAGCCTCCTAAAGTTGTTTAAACACTCCACAGTCATGTTTTTCAGATACTTGAAATGTGTCAGACAGAATCAGTGTTCGATTTGTGACACTAGCAAATCAACAGTTACTTTCTATTATACAGTATGTGCTTTGTTATATTAAGTGCAGTTTGTTATAACGACGACAACACCAACAACTTTTTAGGCTTTCACGAATTGTATTATTGTAAATGTAGTTGCGTGTACATACTCAAAATCAATGATCCCATTTGTTGTGTGGTTTATACATTATGTTAATTCATACATGATTATTAATTGGATTTCGAAATGGTTGGTATTTCAGCTTTTAATTAAAGAACATGTATACCGATTGAAACCTTTTGTAGTGCAAGGCAGTGTTTAAAGTGCACAAAATGTGTATGTTCATGTGTTATGGTATAATGCTCTGTCTGTAACTTGCAAAGCACATAGTTGCGTATTGTATGCTGTGATAATGAAGGGCAGCGGCTGGAATTTAGAGGTTTTCTGTATACATAGGTGCATTCGCCAAGTTCAAATTTATCCAGACCAGTATGTAAATAAAATACATTTGACTGATATGTTATGAAACAAAGCATGTTCTTTTTCTTATGCTTGTGACAGCAACACGATGTTTAGAGGAGAAGCTGGATAAAGAAAAAATATTTTAAAGGTCCCCTGTTGAGTTTTTGACTACTAGCACTGCTGTTGAACAATGTTGTGATGAGCAAGTGCTTACATTTTTTTGCACTCTATTGTTTGAATGCAGGCACAATCATTTTATCAATAGCCGTTGATGATGCTAATGCACCAATAAATGAGGAGAGGACAGCAATCTGATATTAGCAATTTAGATTTTATTATGATCACCAAGAACTTTTAGAAATGCTTGCTTATTCATGCAATTATCCAATTGGCCGATCATGTGGCAGCAGTGCGATGCTTAAAATCATGCAGATACAGGTCAGGAGCTTCAGTTAATGTTCACATCCAACATCAGAATAAGGGAAACATGTGATCTCAGTGACTTTGATCGTGGCATGATTTGTTTAGGTATTTCTGAAACTCATGATCTCCTGGTATTGTTACATACAACAGTCTCTCAAGTTTGTATGCAGAATGGTGCAAAAAAACAAGAAACATCCAGTGAGCATCAGTTCTGCAGACAGAGACACCTTGTTGACGAGAGAGGTCAGAGGGGAATGGCCAGACTGGTTGGAGCCAACAGAAAAGCTAGGGTAACTCAGATAACCACTCTTGACAACTGTGGTGAGCAGAAAAGCATTTCAGAATTAACAACACCTCCAACCTTGAGGCAGATTGGCTACAACAGCAGAAAACCACATCTGGTGTCAGCATGAATGTGTTTACAGCCCAGGCTTGTGGTGGCAGTGTAATGGAGTGGCGAATGTTTTCTTGACTCATTCGGGCCCTTAATACCAATCAATAATCATTTGAATGCCACAGTATATCTGAGTATTGTTGCTGACCATGTGCATCCCTTTATGGCCCCAGCTTACCATCTTCTAATGGCTACTTCCAAGCACGATAATGCACAATGTCACAAAGCAAAAGTCATCTCAAACTGGTTTCATGAACATGACAATGAGTTCAGTGAACTTCAATGGCCTATCACCATATCAGTAGAATCATAGTAGAACACCTTTGAAATGTGGTAGAACAGGAGATTCACAGCATGAATGTGCACCTGATGAATCTGCAGAAATGATGTGATGCAATCATGTCAATGTGGAGCAGAATCTCAAAGGAAACTTTCCAACATCTTGTGAAATCCATGCCATGAAGAACTGAGGCTGTTTTGGTGTTCCTAATAAAGTGCCCGAGAATGTATCTTCAAAGAAAACCTTAGACAATGTCTGAAGAGCTAGAAAGGCATTCATAATGTTAATAATCTCTAATGTTGCACACAATGTATTTTGGTGAGGAACAAGCAACAGTGTTTTTGTAGAGAGTAGACACTCATACTAAAAAGGATACCTTCAATATAATGATGCTCCAGAACTTCAAACTAGCTTCTCTATGCTGGGGCTGGATAAAAAGATCAAAGAATAAAATCATGATGTTTCTCTTATTTATATTTTTTAGGGTATGACTGTGCTTGATTTATACAGTAGTCGTTTCATAACAAAATTCAATCATTGCTTCATTTAAAACTTTCTTCTGTAATCAGTTTATTTACTTTGCCACTTTGCTTTATTTGGTACAATTTGATATAATAAGATCGGTCAACTTTGGCATTCAAGATTTGTTTTCTGGAAACAGAATAATTTATTAATTCATCATCAGGGATTGACAAATCCTCCAAAAAAAAACTTAATTCAAGGCAGCGTATGCAACAGAAGGCCTACTTAAATTTGATACAAATTAAAAGATTAAAAGGTCATGATATCTGAATTAATTTGAGGATGTTGAATTATCTTGGTGGAATTTAAATGTGAAAAAATGCCATGGAGAGCACAGTGCAGGAAATTCCTCTATGCAAAACAAAGAAAGAAAAAATTATCTTTTCAGACAACAAACACAACCTGACTATTTCTAGTCTACAGCAGGTAAAAGTTAGAAGGACACATGCTTTGATTTCACGTTTCATATTCTCCAGAGACATTTCAATTTTCTTTATTAATACTGTGGCTATGGAGCATAGTTGTGTCTGGAGACTGACAGGTATCTGACAAAAATGAATAGGACGCCTCAAACATACAGTAGCCTAGTTACAGTTATTAATCAAACCACCACTGTAAATGAGCACAGCAAGCAACCACAATACCTATCCGTCACATTATATTATAAATTAACTCTAGGCTTTAACCTAACTGGATCATATTTACTACTTTAATATATGGTAACACAGTACCATGGAACAGTACTTTAAGCACAATAAAGCAGTGGGTGGAGTAGTTCTTCACCTTGTCAGTTTTCTTACTTCTGTATACCTTATTATGCATCATAACAAAAGTGGAAACTTTTTAGTCAGTCATGTTCTTGCGGCAGCTATTAAACTTTCATAAATATATCATCTTAACTTTGAACTGTGAATGCGTCTCCCCATAATCAACACACACACACACACACACACACACACACACACACACACACACACACACACACACACACACACACACACACACACACATACACACACACACAGAGGCAATGAATCAAATGTTTGTTTGCTCAAATAAGGTCTGCAGTTCTGATATTAGATGAGTCGCTGAACAGTTGATTCTCCAAAATCCTGTCACTGACCTGTGACGAAATATCTAAAAAAAAAAAAAAAATCTTCATTTTGCCTCGGGGCAGCTTATTTAGGACAAAAAGGGCAAGCAAACAGCCCGTTTATTAAGATAAACTACCACAGCAGAGAGAAATCCAGAGGGCAGAGGCAGTAGCTAATACAAGTGTGTGTATTTCCCTGTGTCTTCTGTGTTTGTGTGTGGTTCATTCTCTGTGGTGTCCCAATCATCTCTGGAAGTGTGGCAAAGTCAGGCATATCCTATCTGTTTTCTCACATACAAACACATAAACTCACAGAGCACACAATAAGAGATGAAATATCAAACACATTTTCAGATCATAAAGCATGAAACTTGTGGCTGAACCAAAACCTTCCTACACACGTTATATTTTTTCCATGGAAAAGCAAAAACTGTCAGTGCTAATGGACCATTAATGAACATCATAAGAGGAGATGAAATAATGAAGTTAAGATGAGGGAATGTTCACAGAGCTAAACACTAAGTGTTGTCATTCTTCATGGATGAGGACAAGGCAGATAAGTCTGTTGGATAGTCAAAGAGTGGAGACTAGATTTAAACCAGACACACTGTATTACTATTTGAATATCATCTAGAAGTGCTCAGTCTTTCTCTTTTTAAGTGCCCATTTTCTGTCGTCTTTTACTGTACTTGTACAAGATCATTCTGATCCATCTTAGCTACTGTATCCATCCTGCTCTTTGTAGATGTTGATGTTTTTGTGTTTATCAGCAAATAAAGTGAAAAATGAATGATGACCAGATTAATCTGTCGGTTTCATTCATAGATTAATCCACTAGTGTGATGTTTTTTGCTTCTAATTTTGTCAGATAAAGGATCTGCTCCCTGTGCTAAAAGCTCTCAGTACATTTCATTTAACAGAGCAAAGTTTGAGCCCTGCAGAGATCTTCGTCAGGCATTGGCACTGTAAATTTCCTGGGAGCTATCAGTACCGTGTGCAGTTCTGAATAGCCTGCCAATTTGATGTAGGGTGTTTTTACAGCTTCACTCACTGGTGCTGAGGGAATCTGTCATGCTAGACAAGAGGTCTTCCAGGTTAGGTTGGCAATGCTGACTGAACAGAGAAGCACTGGCAAGTCAGAGCAGATGACCGCTGGATCTTCTCAAAGATGGGAACTGCAGCAATTAATTGTCGATGAAATAGACAAGAAGGTGAAAGAGACCACTTTGAGGACATACCCTCTGGATAGGAGGCAGTGCTTGGGAGAGGCATGGTTAGGGTCAGGGTTCTTGTTGGCAGAGATCACTGTGGAAGTCTGAAAGACTCATTGGCAATTTGCTGGGGGTGAATGAGATTGTTTGCGAAATGCTGCATAGAGACTCTGGATATTACTGACCTGGCATTGTTGATGTTGCTGTCTCTACTTCATCCAGACACTAGAAAAGCAGTTACCTTAAATGGCTAACATATACAAAGTCAGGGTTTAAAGGGCATAAAGTTTGTGCTTTAGCTATACTGCATGAGTTTTTTTTAAACCATGGTCACAAAAAAAATAACTGCAGCTGTACAAAAGAGCTGGGGTTTATATTACTGGCCTTGATTGCAGTAGTTTAATGGAGGAAAACAATCAAACGCACCATTGTACTGAAAGTAAGGTTGCCTCCTGTGAACCTGGTAACAATGCCCTCCAGTTACTTCCCTTTGGATGTGGTCCAAAACTTCCAAAAGCTCACTGACTATTCTGCTCATTCTGTTTCCACCACAACCGAGACTTGATGAGAAAATGAACAGGTCCAAAATCTTCTCTGTCAGTAATTGTAACAGAGTATTGTAACATCTCTAACTGTTAAACATCTCTAACTACCACTAGTAATACTTTTTCTGTCAAAATATTACAGTACAAAAAACAAAACAAAACACCTGTAACTGCAGTCATTCTGCAGAGGGAGAACCACACCGTACAAACAAATAAAATATAAATAGGAAATGAGCAGCAAAAAGTCATCTAAGCAGCTACACCACCAGATTAATTTACATCTGTTTCTACCATAGACAATATAACAAGGTTTCTACACTTAATGTGGCATGGGACTATTTTGTAGGATTCACTTGATATGATGTTGGATAGCTAAACACAAATAACCTGTTAAGAGATCAATGGCATAGTTTTGCATATGGACGGTAGTGAAATGTCCCTACCAATATTTTGGGAAGACAGAATAGTCGCTACCAATATTTGAGTGAACTCGTTCGCACCATGTTTGGAGTGAAGTCATATTAAATCATTCCAATGTGCCCTCAAAAAGGCTATGTCTCCAAGACAACCCATTCACGCATGCTAT